GAATAACAATTCCCCATCCTCCTTTCTTTGGCAAACCCCCTGGCAATCACCATACTCTTGGGTCATCAGGAAAATCAAGACACATTTTTGCATAGAAAGATATAGGATAATACCTCATGACTTTCCCAAGCTCTAATAGTTTCTGCTTCAATAAATTCAACTATTTTAATACCTCCTATAAGTAGAATTATGCAGTATCTGTCCTTCTAGAAAAAAATGTGCTAATTGTTAGTCACAACATGTTGTTTGCAAAAGTTTATAAGAGCTCATAGGTGATTTTTAACCACAAAATTTAGAAATATCTACATTAATTCAGAGAGAACAGATAACAGTTTAATTGTTCATGACAGTGGGGAAAAAAGATTGGCAAGTGAGTGACAAGGGAATCTAGAGGAGAAGATTGTGAATAAGCATCTCAGAATGGAAAAAAATAGAAGACAATAAAATACAGAAACTACTACAACTATATGAAAGATCATTTAATTTTTTTCTTGATAGTTGCAAATCCTCGTTGTTCAAAACTCTTCATTTTTCATTTCAGTGTTATTGCTATTTAACCCTAAGTAGAATAGTGTTCAAACTAATCATGTATGAAAAATTAAAGGATCATATTTACTATTGGGTTGAATGACATAATTTAAAACTATTCTTTTTATAATTATTTATTTTAATTTTATTTATTCATTTATTTTCATTTGACCTCAGAGAGACAAAGAGAGAGAGCAAGAGAGAAAGGGAAGATGAGAAAGCAAGCCGCCAGGTCCGGGATTCAAACCGTGGTCAACCATGTGGGAATGTCCAGAGCCTTAACCACCACGCCACCTGCTGGCCCCTTATTTTAATTTTATTTATTCATTTATTTTAATTAAAACTATTCCTAAATTCATTATAATGTTATTCTTTCAAATGGAGATTGGTATAATACATATATATAGTTTGAAATGAAATAACATACTTTAGTAAAGTGTATCAAAAAGTCATTTTAACGTAGACCGTAAGTTACTTCAGAAGTGCTGCCAGTCTTGGTTTTGGCTGGCCTCATCATATGCTTAATAAGAGCCCAGTTAGCATATGATAATCGCTGACTCCAATCAGGTGATCAGATGGGCACAGGAATATCTGTCACCATTGCTACTTCAGTTTGGTTCTTACCATTTCTCTCCCAGTCCTCTATCCTCACGGAAAGAGAAAAGAGAAGCCCTGGGCTTATTGTTGTCTCCTTTGTCAGAGGAGGTGAGTCCATAGCTTTTCTAATCGTATTTCCACTCCTTGTTGTTAGCCTTTTTTTTTTTTTTTTTGAGATTTTCGCTATAGGGCGCGTGCGCTCACCAGACAGACAGAGAGAGACATAGAGACAGAAAGCGAGAAATCACCCCCCAGGGGGGATGGTCACGCCGCAATCCCTTCTCCTCCATTCTCCTCTCGGGATCATGGGCACGCACGCACACGCGCCCGGCGTGAGTTTTAAGCCACCGGGTCCGGGACGCGAACTGCGGTCGACTACGTGGGAATCCAGCGACATAGCCATTATGCTAACTGCTGGTTCCCATCGTTGTTAGTCTTAATGTTCAGCCATACTCCAATCACTTTTCTCTCCCTTTCCCTAAACTGGGATTATTACGGCAATTGAAGTAGAGTTGTGACATATTCTTTTGCATGAAGTCATTTTACTTTGTGTATTTAAACTTCCTGTAATGCTTTGCATGTTGGAAAAATGATCATTAAATGGATTTACAAATTATCTTTCTCTCACAGACTCCAACTGAAGAAATCAGATTTTTTTTTTTTTTTGGAGACTACGTGGGAGTCCAGCGACATAGTCATTACGCTAACTGCTAGTTCCCAGAAGAAATCAGTTTTTAATGAGGGGTGTGTGTGTGGTTATGCATGTGATACAAAGAGAAATGGCAAGACACATATATCTTGAGAACTGTAACATGCTACTGTCTGCTCCTTATACTTTTTTATTTGTAAGTACTTCTGATGCTATTAATGAAAATAAAATTGTTTTCATTCAGGAGTTATTTAAGTTTAAATAGTGAAAAGACATAATAATGCATTTTAGTAAGAGTTAAAAATTTTGGCATACATATATCAGACACTGCTTTCATCAAAAGGAATAACCAGGTGCCATATCCAGGCTGGGACTGGAGTGACTTTAAGGGCTTCCTTTCATTAAAGTCACCAGAAACTGACAGAACATTCCAGGTGTATGTCAATGAACATGGAAATTAATCAGGAGTTCTATCAGGTGTAGCTCTTAGAGGATGTGATGATACAATAATTAGCATTATATTTTTCAGTAAATGGATTATGCTATTTGATACAGGCTAATCTTTTTTCTCTTTCCTTTTTTTTTTTTTTTAAGAGTTGTCTTAAGGAATATGTGCTCACCTGAGGGAGAGAGAAACAGAGACAGTGAGATGGAAAGTGAGAAATCACCCCTCTTCTGCAATCCCTCCTCCTCCGTTCTTCTCCTGGGATCTTAGGCACACACCACACACACACACACATACACACACACACACACACACACACACACACACAACACGCTTGCTGTGAATTTCAAGCCACTAGATCCAGACTTGAACCGTGGCCAGCTATGTGGGAGTCTAGTGACATAACCACTATGGCACCTGCCATCCCCGATACAAACAATTCTAAACAGCTGTGATTGCACCATCCAAATAAGTTAAATTGAATGGAATCCATTATTTACCTGTGTTACGTGTGGCAAAGTCAAGGTGGAGAAAAATCGCTGTGCTGACAAAAATGGCAGGAAACCGAGACTCTACAATTTTTCCTGTTCCTATTTCATTAGAAATTGCCTTAGAAAACTAGAAAAGAAATAGAAAAGGATTATTAGTATGTCTCACAGACAGGAGAATAGGAGGAAAAAAGAAAGGGAGAGAATGTATTCTGTTTTAATAATCCAAACAGAAAAAATCATATTAAAAATCTGATAGACAATTAGGAAGACCAATTTCTGAGTCCGATTTTTAGAATGATAAGAAAATTCAGAAGAATTACAATTCTGAGACAATTTCTCAATTAAGTGAGGAAATGATAAAACATTCTGATATTGTCTCATGCATTTTACACTGAACCTACATATTCTGAACTCTGATTAAAAATCATAAATACCGAAAAGAGATAATCACAAACCTTAGAAAAAAATACCGCATATATACTTCAGGTTTCTTTAATTAAAAGTAAGTTTTAGAATACATTTGGAGATTCTCAACTGAAAAGATTCCACACTCAGTTACCACTAGGCAGTGTCATAAACAAAGTATTTAACTTTAAAGAATGACTTTATTTAGGTTTTTTTAATTATCAGAGAGAGAAGAGAGAGAGAACAATTCCTTATGGGGTGTGGTCATGCTGCAATCTCTTCTGCATTTCTCCATCCTGTCGTCATTTTGGACATACAAACATCCCTGGCATCTGTGTTAAGTTGCCAAGGCGTGATTTGAACTGCAGTCAGAAAGGTGGGCTCCTGCTCCCATAATCACTAGACCACCTTAACCACTAGGCTCTGTGTGTATTGTTACACACAGAGAATTTACGTTCTCTGAAGTAGTTTAAATAGTAGCTATGTTAACAAAATTTCACTTTCTACTGTTTAATTGTTCTCTTTTCTCTCTCTCTCTACACACACACACACACACACATTTGTACATGTGTTAAAAAATAGACGATGATCAACAAGTTATAGGTATATACAGATATCGTCACTAAATTTGCATGTTATAAACCACCCATGTTGATGTTTCTCCAAGATATTCACTTTGTGAGGGTCTTATTTCCATCTCTCCTAGTCATAATCCATTCTGTACTCAGGCTTTTTAAAACACAAGCTCTAATTTACTTATTAAATCACTCTGGGTGCTTTCGCTGTGCACCATATGCCAACAGGAGGCTCTTATTGTCTTTTACCATCTGGACTGCTGATTCTCCACGTCTTTTCTCTCCTCTCTTTTTAAGTGACTATGAACTATCATCTAAAAGCAATGAACTTACCAGCTGTTTAGTTTCCACTCGACACTTTTTCCCTATGTGAGGTTATGCATTTCCAAAGCACCATTTATGACAAAGCATAGATTAAACATGTTCCTAACAAATTAAAAATTGAAATTTAAAAGCAATATTAAAGCTCCAAATAAAATTTTAAGAAACAAAACCTGCATAGCACATACCACTTCGAGAATGTCTCAAAGAATTGTCATATTTTCCATGTGACTTCTGAAATACTTCCTCTTAAGTCTTTTTGTATGTTCATCAAAAATGCCTTAGATGCTGTGATGGGACAGCTCCCCTTAGCACTCCCTGGATAGAAGCTGAAATTAAGTACCCAAATGGTGGTTCTAGTCTTTTATTCCCTGTTTTTGTTGTTGTTGTTGTTTTGTTTTTTGTTTTGCTTTTTGATATAGGGCACATGCACTTGCCAGAAAGAGAGAGACAGAAAGCTAGAAATCACCCCCCAGGGGGGATGGCCATAGTGCAATCCCTTCTCCTCCATTCTCCTCTCAGGATCTTGGGCACGCATGAACATGTGCTGCGGGGTGAGTTTGAGCCACTGGGTCCAGGACTTGAACCATGGTCAACTACATGGGGGTCCAGCAACATAGCCATTATGCCAACTGCTGGTCCCAGTGGTTCTAGTCTTGATCTAGGTTTTACAAATCATTGCCAGGATAAACTAATTGACTCATCATCACTATAATTTTTCAAGACAAATTACAATAAAACCCTGATCAGCTCAGATCTAGAATAAATTAAAATGAACATCAAATGCCTTATGTTCCCGTTAATTGTTTCTAACTCTTCTCTGGTGTTTTATATTGGACTGCTTCGATGTATTTTTTAGGAAAAGAAGCACCCAGTGTTTGTAGAAGGCAATTGTCCAAGTCATTGTGGTTTAGTGAGGACATCCAGCAGCCCCACCTCTCTTATAACCCTTTAAAAAATGTAGGGTGACAGCTATAACTCCTCCACCCATTCTGAATCACTTTAAGAGAGTACTTTGAGAACTTCTATGTTTTTTAACATTGCTTCACATAAACCCACACTCTTCACAATTCTCAAGGTAGAGTATGTCTTATTTCTATACCTCTGCATACCTAACTGATACTGTATATCTTTGTTTAGAAGCTATGGCTTCTATTAAATTTAATTACTTACCCCTGTGGCTTTAAATTGAGGGTGGCTATAAAACAAAGACGGCTTCTATTAAATTTAATTACTTTCCCCTGCGGCTTGCATAGGAAGGGTGGCTTCTATTAAAAACTGCATAGTATAGGTGTGGCTGCTAATCAAGGATGCTTCTAAATGAAGATATACAGTCTGTGGAAATAATTCATCAAAGGAAAGGATGTTTGGTATAGAAATAAAATTGCATGATAATGTCAATTCTGAAATTTATGAAAGTAATGATAGTTCTGAGAAATTTTCATAATTCATGTTGTTCTGCTTTTCTAAATAAAAATTATAGCTTACATCTGCACATGCTATATAGGGATATATTAATGTTCTATTGAGGAAGGTAAATGTTTTTTAACATCACAACCTAGCAGATAAAGAGTAAGGCTCTGTGTTGCTTTAAACTGGTTTTTCCTCTTTTGATAGTAGCTGAATAAAGAAAATGGCTTACAGATTTAGCTATGTATATAGTTGGAAAGTTACAACTGAAAAATGATGTTCATAATCTGAATTGCAATGAAACCAATTATCTGTACTGAGGTTATTCACATGGGAATTCTCCTAAAGGTTTAGTATTTCTTAAAAGAAATTAAAAACAGCTGTAAAAATACCATAAAACAAAAATAGCAGCTGCAAAAGAGATTAACATTCCTAAATTTCATTTGAACCTGATATGTTATTTTTCCAACAGCAACATATATATTCTGATTTTAAAATCTATCTTTATGAAATTTTACCTTTAGAAAAAGCAGGACTACTGAATACATTTTTGATATTACCAGTCTTTAATATGCATTTTATAAAGTTTTCTCTGTTAAGGAGTTTTATTAATATGCTCTCTTTTAGTAACCCTCAAATATGAACTAACATTCCAGAATAATCCATATGTTAATTAAGATTTAAAGATTATTAAGCAAACAATACATATAAGTCTATTCCTCTTTATCTCTTTTCCCCCATTATGTAAAACTGTCAACTGCCTTTCACACTGAACCATGAAGAACAAGTACCTTTAAAAATTTTATATAGTGTTTGCCTTCCAATTAAGCAAACAGCCATAGATAAAACTATACCTGATGTTTAACACACACACACACACACACACACACACACACACACACATATAATAAAACAAAATGCAATTTATAAAACAGATCTGGAGGTGGTGACAGTATAAAACAGTTAGTTTCGCTGTGCTGTTCAAACATATGGCAACAACTTCTCTGACGTGCACCAGATGGAGGCCTTTAATCGATCCGGGCTGTTATACCGTCTGTTATTTCTCCATTAGAAAAGGTTCCTCCTTCCCAATTTATAAATTAAATAATTGCTAAACTTGTAAGTCCAAGCAACAGTACTTTCACAGTATAGACATAATAAATTGAGACTCTTTTTAACAAGGCAGCATAATGTTAATGAAAGAAAAATGATCTGAAACCTATGTTTGTATTCTTTTAACAAAACTCTTGTCATCTGTTTAAATTTAGCCCACATTCAACATAGTTTATATACCTTATTTGTTTAGGTTTTTTTTTTTTTTTTTTTTCAGTTTAGTAGCCAAATGCTTTCAGATGAAAGTATTTCACTATTGGCAAACCCTCTAGGAATTATTGCCAATATTAATAGGGCCAATTAAGTCAGTAAACTTGATTTAAAAACTCTAGAAATTACTTAACGTTTTCAAAGGTAAAAATTACTTTTAATTGGATTTCACATTAAAATACTCCAGGTTTTCTACATAATTTTGAAACTAATTTTTTCCTAAATAAATAAGTAAATCTTATTACCATTTAAATAAAATATGAGGAAACTAGTTTAGATATAAGCCAAACATGTTTTACATATGTTAATACTTCAGAGACAAATATGATGCATAGATACTGTTGTCATAACACTAAAACAATTGTGTAGATTTTGTAATCTTGACTATGCTAACTAATCCAGCTCTCTCTCTCTCTCTTTCACACACACACAAATTATTTAAATAAATACACACATTACATCGATACACACATAGGTATAATTTTAAAAATATGCAAGGAGCTGAGAAATAAGAATACAGCATTTTGGAGTGGTTTCCTGCTATTGTTCTTTTGTTATAAATATTATTTGTGACATAGGTTCAGATTTTGAAGTAAACTAAGATGTATGCATAATAGAAATCAAATGAAAGCAACTATTCTCTGGAGAAATATGCAATCCTTTTGTAGAACCCAGCTTTAATGTAGACTAGTACTTAACATATTCACAGCTTATAACAACTTATGAAATGGTTGAATGTTGAAACAAAATATCAACCAGATCTATTCTGTTTAGCATGTTTATTTATGACGATGTTCTTTTGAAAGAAACCAGGAGTATGATAATGGTTGCACACAGACTAAATAGACTATGTTTTCATGAGCAGTAATTCCATACAAGTTCTAGAGAGAAAAGCTGCATTTTTTCCAATATAATACTACATGAGCAAATGACAGCCTTACCTGATGGCTGATATCTTTTATAGTACAACTGTGACATATTTTATGCATCACAAAGAGTGATCAAAGATGTCTCAAGAGGCTCTCTGTCATGGAATGTGGCCCCACAGCCCCTGTCTGCTTTTAAATAAGGCAATAATGCACCTTTAAAATAAGTTGGACATGCTTTCCGGAGTGATGATTATTTTGGATATATTTGAGCTTGATTTTTATTTCATTTTCAGTTATGTGATTCTTAAAATTATATGTATGTTTCATTTGGTTATTAAATAAAAAGTGAATAACATAAACAAGAGATTGTATATTTTTCAAAGTGTATGTTGAACATATAGTTCTGCTTTTATAGCTTTTGTAATATAATGTAGTTAAAAGAAGAAATGCAATTCAGAACCTAGCAAAACCATGCCCATTTGTTTCCAATTAATACATATTAATAAAAAACTTCAATGTACTTTTTTGTTCTTACACAGAAAATTTTGCATTGCTGTTATTTTTTAAATAAAACTTAACTGACTATTTAGATTTTCTATACAAATTAAAAATAAATTGGAAAATTGTGGCAATCGTCCAGTGAAGTTTTAAGCATATAATCACCAATCCTATAATGTCTGGAAATTTTCCAGAAATACTATTTTCCTAAATACTCTGAATGGATTGGATGAAAATGTCTTGTTACTTGGATTTACCTACATAATTAAATTCCCTCCTTCTTTGAAATCTGTCTTCACGCATAACCAAAGACCAAGAAAAAAAGATATTTTACTGAACTTAAACTCTACTGGATATTCATAGTGAATATTTTTCCAGGGCTATATATTTTTAAACAAACATACAAACAAGTAACCAAAAGTTGTTTGTTCTTGTTTTTATGAAGACTTTTACTAATGAGACCAGGCCATCAGTTGCATAAATTAACCAATGTTGTTTTAAGACAGGGATAGAAATATATTTGTAAAGAAATATCTTGCTATGTGAAGGTATTTTCTGAGGTTTATAATTAGTGATGTTCTAAGGTACTAAAGGATTCTAATACTTTGCTAAATTTCTCTTAAACCTGTTCTCAAAACAACTCAAGGCCAAGCAAAAGACCATGACCTCAGTCAATCGGTCTTATGGGCAAAATCATTCAAACTGCGTTAAAGAAAGTGAGTATTCAACGGTTATATTTATTTCTAAAAAACCTTGCATACCCAATTTGGAGTAAATGTGTACTAAAATCTATGTTGAGCTACTAGGTCATCAATCACATTGCCTCTGTAGCCTTTAAGAACTATTTGGGAACCAGCAGTTAGCATAATGGCTATGTGGCTGGACTCCCACGTAGTCGACCGAGGTTCACCCTGACCCGGTGACTTAAAACTCACGCCGGGCGCGCGTGTGTGTGTGCCCAAGATCCCGAGAAGAGAATGGAGGAGAAGGGATTGCAGCGTGGCCATCACCCCTGGGAGGTGATTTCTCGCTTTCTGTCTCTTGTCTCCCTCTGTCTGTCTGGCGAGCGCACGTGCCCTATAAGAAAAATCTCTCTCAAAAAAAAACCTATTTATAATTACATTAAAAGTTAATTTTATTCACTCTTAGTTCAGTTAAATACATCAGTTCATATTTAAATGTGTGGTACTGTTGTTTGTATATTAATAATCTTTTTTTTTTTTGAGAGGTTTTTTTGCTATAGGGCGCGTGCGCTCGCCAGACAGACAGAGAGAGACATAGAGACAGAAAGCGAGAAATTACCCCCCAGGGGGGATGGTCACACCGCAATCCCTTCTCCTCCATTCTCCTCTTGGGATCTTGGGCACGCACGCACACGTGCCCGGAGTGAGTTTTAAGCCACCGGGTCCGGGACGTGAACCGCGGTCGACTATGTGGGAGTCCAGCGACATAGCCATTACGCTAACTGCTGGTTCCCTATATTAATAATCTTATACAATGTTAATTTCCTTGAAATTGTTTATTACAATAAAATTAGTTGTAATGTGTGAATATATATAAATATTTGCTATGAAGTGAGTGTGCATTTGCCAGAGAGACAGACAGAGACAGACAGAGGGAAAGTGAGAAATCACCCCCAGGGCTGATGGCTATATCACAATTCCTTCTCCTCCATTCTCCTCTCAGAATTCTGGACACACACACAATTGCACCAGCTGTGAGTTTCAAGTCACAGCCAGCCATGATTCAAACTGCGTCAGTCATATGGGAGTACAACACCTTAACCACTACCCCACCTGCTGGCCCCATGATGTCATAATTTTTATGTGTTCCCTCCTGAATCTGAAAACAATATAATGTCATAAAAATGTATTAACTAAAATATTTCTATAGAAAACTATTATCTTGACTTTTCATAGTCATTATATATACATTATAAGATGTATTTTTCTATGCTTTTCTATACAAAAATGCATCATAACTTGTCCAACAACCAATATATTTAGAGCTTCAACATTTACAAAATACAAGTTTGATATCATTTCTGTGCAATCTCTTTCAGACTAGATTATGAGGCTTTAGTTTTTTTCAGAAGGATATTTACACTTTATCTTGCTTTTGATATCCCTAACAGTGTCTTAATCCTCTTGTCAGAACATTAAAATCTTATATTTATGTGTATGTTTACAGATCACAAAATACTTTAACATGTATTATCCCCGATCATTCATATAGTAGCCCAAGAAGGCAGGTCGCATTACCCTTTTACAGGATAATGATAAAACTTAGATTTGATGAGTCACTTTTCCTTTTGAGTATCTCAAAAGTGGCCAAGTGGGAGAAGAGAAACTACTTTTATTTCAAATACAATATTCTTTCCACCTGCTGCTGTCTGTAGGATTGATTCAATAGCCTTGGAAAGTAATAATTCAGCTTTTGAATGACAAGAAGATCATTACAGTATAAGTCAGCCCATTTCCTTTTGCAGTTGCCCTGTAATAAAATGATATAATAGTTAATAAGTACCTTGGATTGAGCCAACTATGGCTTCTTACTTCTGTAATTGTACCACGTTACAATCGTCTATGGGAAAGGGACTCTGGTTGATGTCCTTTAGTCTTTAGCAACAAGGTCAGTGACAGAAACGTAGTAGATGCTCAATAAATGTTTGTTGAATATATCACTTTGGATATTTAGCAGTGTCTGAAAACTGCTATAAGTTTTTAAAAGTGTTATCTCTGCTTACAGGTAAAACTTCCCTGCCACTGCACCATGGATTCAAATAGACTTGTTTGCAAATATGTCTCTAGAACCTGCAATGGCATTGATACATAACTGGCATGCAAGTGTAACAATGTGTGAAATGAATAAACCATGACTAACAAAACCATTTTATACAATTTGTTATATTTGACCACTCTTTTCAGGATACATTCAAGTTTTTCAAATGCTACTGAAAACATGCCACCTGACACTAACATACAAGTTTTTCAAATGCTACTGAAAACATGCCACCTGACACTAACCATACAATGTCCTACATGTAGTATAACCTCTCTAAGAATTACTGAAGGAAGTGATTATACCTGCACAATTTCTTTAGTTTAAAATAATCTAGTCGGAAATCATTTCTATCTTTAGACTCATTTCCTTAAAGGTAGTTCAAACCTATATTAAGCTGTCATATAATAAATTTCTAATTAAGTTAAAATTCCTGAGAATTATAAACTATACAATTAAAAGCAAATTTAGATCATTTTTTCTCTGTTTCTGTACACATACTTGCTATAACCTTCAAGCTGTGCCAAAGATTAAAATGAGCAATACTAGGCAAGTAAAAAAAAAAATTGACTATTTAGTAATTCATATGATTCAAGAGGTTAGCTGTAAAGCAATATGGCCATTCAAATCTCACATGAAAATTGGTGTGATTTATTCCCCATTTAAAATATTTTCTTCTAATTAGAGTCATTATGGTGATTGTATTTTAATACTATAATTGGAGTTAGCCTTCCTAAACAGTTTTCTAATGTCAAGTATGTTATTCTCTTTTTCATTTTCGGAGTGTAATATTTCTCATATAGTAATCTATGCAGAAAATAAATACTTTCTTGAACTCTCACGTAAGCTCCATAAATGCAATTTTGTATATTTTGTTTCTAAAAATTTAAAAATATATCTTTGTAAGGTAGAATGATGGCCTTTAAGGAGACATTTCAACTACAGAGATTGGAAAAGTCTGAAGTTAATGCCTAAGTTCATATTTAAATTACTTTTTATAATTAATAAATTAAAATATAATAGCAACAATAAAAATCCTAAGATTAAGATAACTAGAAGGGGGGACCACCACTTAGCGTAATAGCTATGTCACTGGACTCCCACGTAGTTGACTGTGGTTCGAGTCCCGGACCCGGTGGCTTAAACTCACGCCGGGCGCATCTGTGTGCATGCCCAAGATCCCGAGAGGAGAATGGAGGAGAAGGGATTGTGGCATGGCCATCCCCCCGGGGCGGGTGATTTCTCGTTTTCTATCTCTCTGTCTCGGTCTGTCTGGTCAGTGCACGCGCCGTGATTTCTCGTTTTCTATCTCTCTGTCTCGATCTCAAGTTTTTCAAAACGCGCCCTATAGCAAAATAAATAAATAAATAAACAAACAAATAAATAAATAAATAAATAAATAACAAGAAGGTATAATTTAAGAACTAACAGCAAGTTTTGAGGTTAATAAGAAAAGTTAAGTATTCAATGTGTCTGTTGCAACAACCATGAGTTCCAGTAATTCAATCACTGTATTTAGAAGTGCTAGTGTGGGAAAGAACAGTTGAATTTAAATTCTCCTCCGTGGAACGTCATTGTATTTAGGTAGAGTAAAATGAGAAGTGAAGACAATGAGTAAGGTAATCCAATAAAAAGGAAGTAAACAAACAAATATCATTTGAAATATTAATAAAATTTAAAGGAAATGCTTTTTGTTTGAAAAGAGTACAAACTCATTGGGAGATAAATGTATGCATAAAACAAATGAAGATGATAAATTCATAAGAGGAGATAAAATTCACTTTATAAACCTTATTCAAATTACTGTTTCAGAATAAATTTTGAACTTTTGTATTTTTTTATTTTCAGAGAGGATTTTGCTATAGGGTATGTGCGCTCGCCAGAAAGACAGAGAGAGATAGAGAGACAGAGAACTAGAAAATGTCCATTAGAGCAGATGGCCACACTGTAATTCCTTCTCCTCCATTCTCCTCTCGGGATCTTCGGCATGCATGCACACGTACCTGGTGTGAGTTTAAGCCATCGTGTCTGGGACTCAAACTGTGGTTGACTACATGGGAGCCCAGAGACATAGCCATTATGCCAACTACTGATCCCCTTGGCCTTTTGATTTTTAAAATTTTGCCAAAGGGTATGTGTGCCCATCAGAGATGAGAGAGGGAAGAAAACACACCCAATAAGGGATGGTCCACTGCAATACCTTCTCCTCCACTTCTCCCTACTTTAGGGATTCTGGGCATACCCACAAGCACCATGGCCTCTTTTTCAAGTCACCAGGTCTGGGACTCAAACCACACAGTTGGTCACGTGGGATTCAGCCATCATAACCACTATGCCATTAGTTAGTCTTATTTTGACCTTTTCAAGGCAATTTTCTGGACAGAGTGATTTATGTGATGTGGGAAATTACCAGCGTCTTGCTTTGTCCTGCTGTGACAACCATTCTAACACCTTTTCTTTAGAAGCCATATATGTGTTATGTTCCTGTGTATGTACTTTTTAAAAATGTGGGTGAAAGGAATTGTGCTAACCTAGAATGGTGTTTTCCTATTGACTTACAGATATCGCTAAATAGCTAGAGGAAAAAGAAGTCAAATTTGACCACATGCTCTATAAGGGAGGCTTTGGCAAGACATATACTTATGTATGGGACTGATGAGATACAATTATTTAGATGGATATCAAATGCATTAGGTGGAATGAAAGAAGCCAATCCCAAGTTTATACATACATATAAATACATGCTTATACACACACACACACATATGTTTGATATAACATTCTTATAAAGATACAATTCTGTCTATCTACATTTCCCACTAGGGCCCTTGAAGTGGTTTTGTTTTAGTAATCTTTTTTTTAGGGAGATTTTTGCTACAGGGCTCATGTGCTCACCAGAGAGACAGCGAAAAATCACCCCCCAGGGGCAATGGCCATGCTGCAATCCCCCTCCTCCACTCTCCTCTTGGGATCCTGGGCACACATGAGGTTCAAACCACTGGATCTGGGACTCAAACTGTGGTGGACTACATGGGAGTCCAGCAACATAGCCATTACACCCACTATTGGTCCCAGAAAGATACAGTTCTAACAAGGGATAACAATTCAGTGACTTGCCAAAGGTTAGAGCAGTTTTTTGGAGGTCATGAAACATATCTCCATACTGAATGTGGAAGTAATTCTACAAATATATACTCTGTTAAAACTCATAGTTATATTGTGAAAATATAAGCAAATCATACTGTCAATTAAAAAATAATATATATGCATATATTCTGTATCTAGTTATATATGTTCTTTATATACAAAAAAAATAGAGGATTGTATTAGAAACTAATTAAAGAGTTAGTCCTCAGTCAGTGAAAATAGCTTACATAAAAGACAGGAACAAAATTAAACTTATTTCCTTATAAGAATTATTTATTTTTTAAATTCCATTTGTTATTATTATATTTTAATTTTAATTTTACCAGACAAAGAGAGAGAGAGAGAAATGGAAAGCGAGAAAGGAAGTCACCAGGTCTGGAACTCAAACTTTGGTCAGTTATGTGGGAATCCAGTGCCCTTAACCACCACATGACCTACTAACCCCAAAATTAAACTTCTTAAGTTTTGGTTATTAATGTTGTTTTGATTTTTGTGTCATGTGACTAAATTATCTACTTGAAAAACGCAATTAAATGACAACAAAAGATTCAGATCTTTGGTTGGTTGATTTCATTCCCCCCCCCACACAATCTAGTGGTAGTTAAATTATTTGCTTAAACATTTTAATTGAGAAGGAGCAATAAAATGCAGGTAGGTGTATCCAAAGTCTATTGGATTCATTTTTTGAGCATTTATTTATTTTTTTGTTTGTTTTTTTTTATTTTTTATTATCATCATAATCTTCTTTATATTACATTGGATTACATATAACTTTACAGTGTATTACATTGCTTTTTCAAAAGAGAATGCCATGCATGTCAGTCAATACAAAGACATTAATCTCCCTGCTTCAACATTCGATATCTTTTCTATGTTTTCCCCAATCATTATTATTATTATTATAATTATTTTTTAAAACAGTCAATCGCTATTTCTCATTTTGCTTGTAAAAGTACTTTGCCCATCATGAAATACCTCTCAGACCAATCCAGTTGAGAATACTATACATGTCATCATCAAGAGTTAATAAATTCCATAGAGTATATATACCACACTTTTCCAATCCATTCATCAGTTTGTGGACATTTAGGTTGGTTCCATGTCTTGGCAATTGTGAATAATGCTGCAATAAACATGGATGTGCAAGCACTTTTCTGACTGAGCGTTCTCCTGTCTTTTGGGTAAATACCCAGAAGTGGGATTGCTGGATCAAATGGTAGTTCTATTTGTAGATCTTTGAGGAACCTCCATATTGTTCTCCACAGTGGTTGAACTAGTTTACATTCCCACCAACAGTGTAGGAGGGTTCCCTTTTCACCACATCCCCGCCAACACTTATCTGAGCATTTATTTTTCATGTGCATAGCTGTGAATGGAGCCCCTGACCTAGTAGAAATTTACAAATCTTCCTTTTAGAAATAATTCCTCATGTGACCTAATCAACTGCTTTGAAATAAAACTGGACATAAAAGGATAATCTAATTATTTTTGTTGTTAAAACACTAACACCCACAACCATATGTTTTGACTTATTTCCTAATAAACTTCTGTTTATTGTATTTTAAATTCAGCTGTGTTCTGTATTATGTAATACAGGTTTCTGAAGTAATGGCAGCAGTTTAACTGCTTTATCTAGTTGGGGGAAATTAATTATTTTTCTTTTCACTTGACGTATTTGTTTATTTTGGTGTTGCTCAAACTGTAAACGTGAAAAGCAGATGAAAGAATCTATTAATATCCACTGGCATTCATCTTTTTATGCTTTCTCGCCTTCTCTCAAAATAGCTAACATTAGAAACTATATCACTAAGAACTTAAGCTTCATAACTGGAACCACTAAATTTATACTACTTTTGCTGCTTCAGTTTTTTTTGTTGTTATTGTTTGTTTTTGTTTTTGTTTTTGTTTTTAGAGAGATTTTTGCTATAGGGCTCATGTATTTGCC